CCGCTGCCCGGGGCTTCACCCTCCATCGCCCTCACCGTCGGGCTCTCAGGTAGGTGGGGATGAGAGGGGACCGTGGGGACAGGGACAGGGGACAGGGAGGACAGGGGATGGGGACAGTGCAGAGACAGCGGGGACAGGGGACAGGGAGGATGTGGGGACCATGGGGACAGGGACGGGGTAGGGATTGTGGGGACAGGGACGACACGGGAACTGTGGGAACAGGGATGAGGGGATGGGGACAGTGCAGAGACAGCGGGGACAGGGGATGGGACAGGATGTGGGGACCGTGGGGACAGGGACGGGGTAAGGATTGTGCGGACAGGGATGGCAAGGGAAATGTGGGAACAGGGACGAGGGGATGGGGGACAGTGCAGGGACAGCGGGGACAGGAATGGGGGACAGGAAGGATGTGGGGACCATGGGGACAGTGTGGACAGGGAGGACACAGGAAATGTGGGAACAGGGACAGGGGACAGGGACAGTGCAGAGACAGCGGGGACAGGGGACAGGGGACAGGGGACAGGGAGGATGTGGGGACCATGGGGACAGGGATGGGGTAGGGACTGTGTGGATAGGGACGACACGGGAAATGTGAGAACAGGGACAGGGGACAGGGACAGTGCAGAGACAGCGGGGACAGGGACAGGGACAGAAAGGATGTGGGGACCATGGGGACAGGGACGGGGTAGGGATTGTGGGGACAGGGACGACACGGGAACTGTGGGAACAGGGACGAGGGGATGGGGACAGTGCAGAGACAGTGCGGACAGGGGATGGGACAGGATGTGGGGACCATGGGGACAGGGACGGGGTAGCGATTGTGCGGACAGGGATGGCAAGGGAAATGTGGGAACAGGGACGAGGGGATGGGGGACAGTGCAGGGACAGCGGAGACAGGAATGGGGGACAGGAAGGATGTGGGGACCATGAGGACAGTGCGGACAGGGAGGACACGGGAAATGTGGGAACAGGGATGAGGGGATGGGGACAGTGCAGAGACAGTGGGGACAGGGGACAGGGGACAGGGAAGGCTGCAGGCATCGGGGTGGTGGCATTGCAACCCCCAAGGAACACTACAGGGACGGGGGTGACCCAGAGGACGGTGCCACCRGGCTCAGGTGGCTCAGACCGGGCACAGAACGTGTCCCCCCACCCCTCTGGGCAGCCATCCGCATCAAGAAACCCATCAAGACCAAATTCCGGCTGCCCGTGTTCAACTGGACGGCGCTGAAGCCCAGCCAGATCAGCGGCACGGTGTTCAGCGAGCTGGACGACGAGCGTGTGCTGGAGGTCAGCCCAGGAGCCCCTTCCCCAAATTTTAAACACCCCCCAGACCCCAATTCTGACCCCATTTCACCCCACCAGGATTTAGACCTGGAACGTTTCGAGGAGCTGTTCAAGACCAAAGCGCAGGGCCCGGCGTTGGACCTGGTGTGCGCCAAGAGCAAAGCGGCGCAAAAAGTGGCCACCAAGGTGACGCTGCTGGAAGCCAACCGCGCCAAGAACTTGGCCATCACCCTGCGCAAGGCCGGCCGCAGCGCCGACGAGATCTGCAGGGCCATCCACACGTACGGCCCCGGGAATGGGGAAATGGGGAACGGGGGAACGGGGGGGACAGGGGATGGTGGAGGGCAAGAAGGGGTGTGGGGTTGGGGTTCAGGGGGTTCAGGTGAGTGTGGAGGGGATTATTGGGGTGCAGAGGGTTTGGTTGGGGTGCAGAGGGTTTGATTTGGGGTTCAGGGGGCCCCGGTGAGGTTTGGAGGGTTTGGTTGGGGTTCAGGGGGTCCAGGTGAGGTGTAGAGGGGTTAATTGGGGTGCAGAAGGTTTGGTTGGGGTGCAGAGGGTTTGGTTTGGGTTCAGGGGGCTCTGATGATGTTTAGAGGGGCTAATTGGGGTACAGAGAATTTGGTTGGGGTTCAGGGGGCTCCAGGCAAGGTGTGAAGGGGCCAGTTGGGGTGCAGAGGGTTTGATTGGGGTTCAGGGGGCCCAGGCAAGGTGTGGAGGGGTGAATTAGGGTACAGAGGGTTTTGCTGGGGTTCAAGGGAGCCCCAGTGAGGTGTGGAGGGTTTGGTTGGGGTTCAGGAGGTTCAGACGAGGTGTAAAGGGGGTAATTGGTTTGCAGAGGGTTTTTTTGGGGTTCAGGAGGCTCTGGTGATGTTTAGAGGGGTTAATTGGGGTGCAGAGGATTTGGTTGGGGTGCAGAGGCTCAGGTGATGTGTAAAGGGGGCAATTGGGGTACAGAGGGTTTGGTTGGAGTTCAGGGGGTCCAGGTGAGTGTGGAGAGGGTGAATTGGGGTGCAGAGGGTTTGATTTGGGTTCAGGGAACCCCAGTGAGGTTTGGAGGAGTTAATTGGGTGCAGAGGGGTTTTTGGGGTTTAGGGGACCCCAGTGAGAGTGGAGGGGCTAATTGGGGTGCAGAGGGTTTGGTTGGAGTTCAGGGGGTCCAGGTGAGGTGTAGAGGGGTTAATTGGGGTGCTGAGGGTTTTTTGGGGGTTCAGGGGTCTCTGGTGAGGTGCAGAGGGTTTGGTTGGGATGCAGAGGGTTTGGTTTGGGTTCAGGGGGCCCCCATGAGGTTTGGAGGGTTTGGTTGGGGTTCAGGGGGTCCGTGCGAGGTGTGGATTGGTTAATTGGGGTGCAGAGGGTTTGGACAGGGTGATCTGGTTGAGGTTCCAGCATCTCAAAGGGAAAGGGGGGTCTGGATGGGGTGCAGGGGGTTCAGGCAGGGTACGGGGCCTTGACTGGGGTACTGTGGGAACAGTTTGGATGCTGGGGGAACAATTGGGGTGCAATGGGAACTGTTGGGGTGCTATGGGAACAGTTGGGGTGCAATGGGAACTGTTGGGGTGCAATGGGAACAATTGGGGTGCTGTGGGAACAGTTGGAGTGCAGGGAGCCTGTCCAGGGGGAGAGGGGTCAATGGGGTACAGGAGAACCAGGAAAAATGCACAATATTGGGGTGCAGAGGGAACAATTGGGCTTCAGGGGACCTGGCCAGGGAGAGGGGCGTCAATGAACCAGGAAAAATGCACAATATTGGGGTGCAGAGGGCTTGACTGGTGTGGCACATGCTCTGATTGGGGTTCAGGGGCTCCAGGAGGTGCAGAGGGTCTGGCTGTGGCTCGGGGTGGCCGAGGGGCTCCCAGAGTAGGTYCCTCCACTCGCCAACGCCGCTCTGCGGGGCAGGTTCGACCTGGCGAYGCTGCCGGTGGATTTCGTGGAGTGCCTGATGCGCTTCCTGCCCACGGAGGCGGAGGCCAAGGCGCTGCGGCAGTACGAGCGCGAGAGGAAGCCGCTGGAGGAGCTGGCCGACGAGGATCGCTTCATGCTGCAGTTCAGCAAGGTGGAGCGGCTGCCGCAGCGCATGGCCATCATGGCCTTCCTCGGCAACTTCGCCGAGAATATCCAGATGTTGACACCGGTATGGTATCAAGGAGGGGGAGATGGACCTGCCAGGGTGGTCCCTGAGTCCCCAAACCCCGCTGAGACCCCCCTGTGCTGTCCCCCTGCAGCAGCTCAATGCCATCATCGCGGCCTCGGCCTCTGTGAAGTCGTCCCAGAAGCTGAAGCACATGTTGGAGGTGGGGGTGTGAGGATGGGTTGGGTGGGGGTCCCTCTGGGGGTCTCGTTCTCTTGTTCCCTCCTGACCCCCCCAAATCCTGCTGTTCTCCCCCTTGTAGATCATCCTGGCGCTGGGCAACTACATGAACAGCAGCAAACGCGGTGCAGTCTACGGCTTCAAACTGCAGAGCCTGGACCTGGTAGGAAAAGCCCCTCCCCGGCTCCTTGAGACCCCCAAGGCTCCCACCCCACTAACCCCCGCCCCAAAAATCCTCCTGTAGCTCCTGGACACCAAATCGACCGACAGGAAGATGACGCTGCTGCACTTYATCGCGCTGACGGTGCGGGAGAAATACCCGGAGCTGGCGACTTTCTGGCAGGAGCTGCACTTTGTGGAGAAAGCTGCGGCAGGTGCCCCTCAACCCGTGCCTCACCTGGCTGTCCCACCCCCCCAAAACACGGCCACTGACCCCCTCTGTGTCCCCGCAGTGTCCCTGGAGAACGTGCTGCTGGACGTGAAGGAGCTGGGCAGGGGGATGGAGCTGCTGCGGCGGGAGTGCGGGCAGCACGAGAGCGCGGTGCTGCGCGGATTCCTGGGCAGCAGCGAGGGGCAGCTCGAGCGGCTGCAGCGCGACGCACGCACGGCCGAGGTGAGGGAGGATGGAGCCTAGCCTGGAGCTGACCGCGGGCACGGCTGGTCAGCCACGCCTCGCTCTGTGTATTCCTCGTGCACGGCTGGTCATCCAAACCTCGCTCTGCATGCTCCTCATGGACACCTGGTCATCCACACCTTGCTCTGCATGGCCCTCGTGCACATCTGGTCATCTACACCTTGTCCTGCATGGTCCTTGTGCACATCTGGTCACCCCATGCCTTGTCCTGCATGGCCCTCGTGCACATCTGGTCACCCACGCCTTGTCCTGCATGGTCCTTCTGCACACCTGGTCATCTTCTCCTTGCTCTGCACTCTTCTTGTGCACACCTGGTCATCCAAACCTTGCTCTGCATGGTCCTCGTGCACATCTGGTCAGCCATGCCTTGTCCTGCATGCTCCTTGTGCACATCTGCTCAGCCACGCCTTGCTCAGCCACACCTCATGCACATCTGGTCATCTACACCTTGTCCTTCATATTCCTCGTGCACACCTGGTCATCCACACCTCGCTCTGCCATGCCTTGTGCACATCTTGTCACCCACGCCTTGTCCTGCATGGTCCTCGTGCACACCTGCTCAGCCACACCTTGTTCTGCATGGTCCTTGTGCATATCTGGTGATCCCCTCCTTGCTCTGCCCCTCCTCATGCACATCTGGTCATCCACACCTTGCCTTGTGTAGTCCTTGTGCACACCTGCTCAGCCACACCTCATGCACATCTGGTCATCTACACCTTGTCCTTCATGGTCCTCGTGCACATCTGGTCACCCACACCTTGCTATGCGTGTTTCTCGTGCACACCTGGTCATCCACACCTCGCTCTGCACGCTTTTTGTGCACATCTGGTCAGCCACGCCTTGTCCTGCATGCTCCTTCTGCACATCTGGTGATCCTCTCCTTGATCTGCCACTCCTCATGCACATCCATACCTTGTCCTGCATGGGCCTTGTGCACAGCTGGTCACCCACACCTTGTCTTGCATGGCCCTCATGCACATCTGGTCATCTACACCTTATCCTGCATGCTCCTTGTGCACACCTGCTCAGCCACACCTTATGCACATCTGGTCATTTACACCTTGTCCTGCATGGTCCTCATGAACATCTGGTCACCCACGCCTTGTCCTACATGCTCCTTGTGCACACCTGGTCATCCAAACCTTGCTTTGCATGGTCCTTGTGCACACCTGGTCATCCACAGCTTGCTCTGCACGCTTTTCATGCACACGTGGTCATCCACACCTTGCTCTGCATAGTCTTCATGCACTTCTGGTCATCCAAACCTTGTCCTGCATGCTCCTCATGGACACCTGGTCATCCCCTCCTTGCTTTGCATATTCCTCATGCACATCTGGTCACCCATGCCTTGTCCTGCACGGCCCTCATGCACATCTGGTCATCCACACCTCGCTCTGCCATGCCTTGTGCACATCTTGTCACCCACGCCTTGTCCTGCATGGGCCCCATACACATCTGGTCACCCACGCCTTGTCCTGCATGGTCCTCGTGCACACCTGGTCATCCACACCTCACTCTGCATATTCCTCATGCACACCTGGTCATCCACAGCTTGCTCTGCACGCTTTTCATGCACACGTGGTCATCCTCTCCTTGTTCTGCACACTTTTTGTGCACACCTGGTCATCCAAACCTTGCTTTGCATATTCCTCGTGCACATCTGGTCATCCACAGCTTGCTCTGCATTCTTTTTGTGCACACCTGGTCATCCCCTCCTGTCTCTGCATGTTTCTTATGCACACCTGGTCATCCAAACCTTGCTCTGCATGGCCCTCGTGCATTCCTTGTCATGTTTACCTTGTCCTGCACGTTTCTCATGCACACCTGGCCATCCACACCTCGCTCTGCACATTTCTCATGCACACCTGGTTATCTCCTCCTTGCTTTGCATGGTCCTTGTGCACACCTGGTCATCCACACCTTGCTCTGCATGCTTTTTGTGCACACCTGGTCATCCAAACCTTGCTCTGCACACTTCTCATGCACATCTGATCACCCACACCTTGCTTTGCATGGCCCTTGTGCACATCTGGTCATCCACACCTCACTCTGCACGCTTTTCGTGCACACCTGGTCATCCAAACCTTTCTCTGCACCCTCCTTGTGCACACCTGGTCATCCACACCTCGCTCTGCACATTTCTCATGCACACCTGGTTATCCCCTCCTGTCTTTGCATGTTTCTTATGCACACCTGGTCATCCAAACCTTGCTCTGCATGCTTTTTGTGCACACCTGGTCATCCAATCCTTGCTCTGCACCCTCCTTGTGCACTCCTGCCCTGTTTGCCCACTCCCCCCGTGCCGGACACTGCCCATCCCTGACCATCCATCCCGTGCCAGGACGCCTACAACACCGTGGTGCGGTATTTCGGCGAGAGCCCCAAGACGACCCCGCCRTCCGTTTTCTTCCCGGTGTTTGTCCGATTCATCCACTCTTACAAGGTGAGGTGGGGCCGGGAGGGGGTACATGGCAGGTTTGGGGAAAGCTGGCACCCCTCACCTGTTGTAGTGGTTTGAATGATTTTAATGGGAGCAAAACACTCCCAAGTTCCAGCAAACCTCCTCCCCCTCTCTTTTCCCCACC